GAGCTGAGGAGGATGGGGAGTGTGCGCAGGCTATGGCGAAAATAAAGATACAGAAACACGGAGAAAGGATAACGAATAACATTATTATAGCGGCGATCCCGAAAGTCTGGTTTTCCCCCCGCCCAGGCTTGCAAAAATAGAGGAAGAGGAATATCGCTTAATATATATACATATATATATATATATACATGTGAGGCCAGCGCCTTCTAAGAAGCAGCCCTTTTCTGAGAAGCCTTCCCGTCTCCCCCATAATTACCCCCTCGTGCGCGCCGCCACGAGGGAGACAGCCAAGCATCACACACACACCTCTTCACCCTGGGCAAGCGGTGTTCGGCGGATTCGCCATCTTCTTGAGACCGACAGGTCTCGCGTCGGGGCACCTGTCTCTCAGAGCACGGGCAGCGACGGCGATACCGCTTGCAGGAACGACTCGGGAGCGCTGCGACCCGGGGGAGGCCAGTCTTCCCCGGTCGCTGTTAACACAAGCGCCAATGTTTTGGAAGACGTGCAGCGCGGTGTCAATGCAGTGTTGGTGATTTGGAGCAGGGTTGCGTTTGGGATGAACTTGAGCAACATCTTCGTCCTTCATTTTCTGTTCGGGTACGCGACGCATGGGGCAACTGTGTTCTCCTTGCTGGGATTCCTGCAGCTCCTCTTCACCACGGTGCTTCTCGCTGCTGCCCTCAGTATTTTCACGTTCTTGTTCGTAGAGGTACCGTGGCGTTCGGCATTCAAGCCGTTTATCCAATTTCTGAAGGAGATGTCTGACAAGCGGTAGGGCCGTGGTTGTTTTAATACATCAGGTCTGAGGCCTACTGACGTGGACTTGACTATGCCGAAGTCTGACGGCCTAAAACGACGAAACATCCATGATGGCATTGGTGCCTGCCTGGTCTCGAACGCTGGGCGAGGGCTGCTAAAGCCGTGGCTGCTGACACGGCCCTCTGGGAGGGAGAAAAACAACTTCCCCGAATGAGGCGCGGCACGCGAGGCAGTACATGGGCTTCTTCTCGGGGACGGAAAAGAGGGGGTGATGACTAGGGGGGGGTGGATATCATGGCGTGGGCCATGATATTTCCCAGATTTCATGGCACCTCTTCTTGTTTCATTATGTCCCTGGCCCCCCCCGCTGGGCCGCGCACATGCCGCCGGTCATGATTTGCACCCCCCCTCTTGGACACCCCCGTCTTGGCCGCTCCCGATCTTCCCGGAGGGACGAGGACACCTTCCCGGAGGTCGACCTTAGAGCAGCCACGGACCTGGCAGCTCCTGCCCAGCGTCCGGGGATCGGCTCTCCGCGCTGTGGCGCTTTTTTGTCCTCCCCGGCGGAGCGCACCACGGCTGTGCCCTTCTTCGGGGGCGGCAAAGAGGGGGGTGATGACTAGGGGTGGGGGTGGGGGGTGGATATCATGGCGTGGGTCATGATATTTCCCCAGATTTCATGGCGCCGCTTCTTGTTTCATTGCGTCCCTGGCCCCCCCGCCGGGCCGCGCACATGCCGCCGGTCATGATTTGCACCCCCCCCTCTTGGACACCCCCCTCTTGGCCGCTCCCGAAGTACGTGGAAGAAGAACAATAAAACGGGAAGAGCGCGAACGGCAGGATGGGGGAAGGAGAGGGGGACGACGGACCAGCGACGACGAAGGGCTACGACTAATCGGAGAGGGCAGGAGGGAGGGGCGAGAGGAGCAGAGGTGCGAGAGGTGGCGAGTGCGCTGCAGGGCGAGCGCGGCCGTGACCGCGCTCGCCGGACAAGGGAGATGGCGCAGGGGCCTCGCCCCAAGCCGCAGGAAACCCCGAGGATACGACACCCAACCCCAGGCGGAGGAGGAGGAGGAGGAGGAGGAGGAGGAGGAGGAGGAGGAGGGGGCCCTCACCCTCCAATCGGCGGCGAGCGAGGGGGGGAGGTGAGGAGGAGGAGGAGGCCTTCTCAGAAGGCGGCGGGACCTCTTAGAAGCCCTCGCGCCTTCGGAGAAGAGTTTTCCAGTGTCTTCGGGGAGGGCTTCGAAAACTTTTCGGGAGGCCTGGGGACCTCCGAACCTTACGAGAAGGCCTTCGCCTTTGCACTCCTCCCCCTCGCTCGCCGCCGATGCCAAGGCAGGCGACGGGTTCCCAGGGAGGGGCCAGGAGTCGCGGTGGGGCTTCCGCGTTCGCGCTGTCCCGCGGCGGCGGCCACGGGAGGCTGCTGTCCCGCCTCCGTGAGATCCCGCCCCCACTTCCTACGCTTGCTGCGATCGGCTGCGCCAGGGCTGCGGTTGGAGGTGAGCTACTACCCTGCAGCAGTGGGACAGCGGTTCGAATAATCAAACAAAACGCCATAAGCATATACTTGGCGCTCCGCGCGGATTTCTTTCATCCGCGATGGACCCCCCCTGGCGGCGCCTCAGGCACGCTCCTGGCGCGCTCCGAGCGCCAGGGAGGGGGGTCCAGCGCAGATCCAAGAAATCCGCGCGGACCTCCAAGAGTTTGTGTTTATGCAGTTGTTGTTCTTTCTTCTGGTGGTGCGAGCGGAGAGACGTAGGCGGAGAGCTGAAAGAGTTGCCGTGGGCGGCTGTGAGGGGCAGAGGTAGCAGCGGGTGGAGCTGAGCAAGCGTGGAAGGGTGGGCCAGAAATGCGGTCACTGAGATGCCGAAAGGCGGTTCGTGCACATGTGCGTAGCTTGGGCAGATGTTGCTGCTGGGCGCCTTGGTTAACGCCAGTGCTGCCAGCGCACCTCCCCTCACCCCGCCACCCCCTCAGTGGCACACCCCCATCCTTCAGTTGCTGTAAGCGGTTGCGACGGCTGCGGTTGGAGGTGGGCGTTTGAGAAGGTGGGACAGAGGTGTGAGCAGTGAGACAAGACGTAGACAGAGAGTTATTTAACGCGAAAGAGTTGCTGTGGGGAACGCTGCCAAGTCTGAAAAGAGAAGTAGACTGGCGTAAAACATAGAAGCGTGCAGTAAGGCTTCCTGGGTGCAGTGTGAAGCTGAGCTCCTCCTCCTCCTCCTCCTCCTTCTCATCCTCCTCCCTCCTCAGTTCTCCCCATCCTGCTCCACCAGGGATATCATCATCATCATCATCATCATCATCATCATCATCATCATCATCATCATCAGCATCAGCATCAGCATCAGCATCAGCATCAGCATCAACATCATCATCATCATCATCATCATCATCATCATCATCATCATCATCATCATCATCATCATCATCATCATCATCAGCATCATCAGCATCAGCATCAGCATCAGCATCAGCATCATCATCATCATCATCCTCTTCCCAGAAGTCCCCAGATGCCTCCCGAGGCACCCGACATCGGGGGAGGCACATGGCCAAGACGTCGAGGCATCGGGACCACTCTGGGCTCCAGGAGTGGCCCTGGGGTTCGCACCGCTCCTCGGGCCCAGGCCAGGGAACCTCTTCGCGGCCCAGGCTCCCCGAGGCCAGAGCAGCACCCTCGTCCCTGACTCTGTCCTGCCTCCTCCGCCCCCTCCTCCTCATTCTCCTCCCCCTCCCCCTCTCCTCCTAATCCTCCTCCTCCTCCTCCTCCTTCCCTCATCCCCTCCTCCTCCCCCGTCTCCTCCTCCTCCTCCTCATCATCATCCTCATCCTCATCCTCATCGTCAGCATCATCATCATACTCATCATCATCATCATCATCATCATCATCATCAGCATCATCATCATCATCATCATCATCATCAGCAGCATCAGCATCAGCATCAGCATCGTCATCAGCAGCATCATCATCATTCTCATCATCATCACCCTCAGCATCATCCTCATCCTCATCATCATCATCATCATCATCCTCAGCATCATCATCATCATCATCCTCATCATCATCATCATCATCATCATCATCATCATCATCATCATCATCATCATCATCATCATCATCATCATCATCATCCTCAGCATCATCATCATCATCATCATCATCATCATCATCATCATCATCATCATCATCATCATCATCATCATCCTCATCCTCAGCATCATCATCCTCAGCATCATCATCCTCATCCTCATCCTCAGCATCATCATCCTCATCCTCATCCTCAGCATCATCATCATCATCATCCCCCCCCTCGGGGGGGAGGCCTCCGGATTGTCGGCGTTCGGCCGCGGGCGCCTTGTCGCCGCGGCCAGGCGCGCAGGAACGCGCGGCCGCTAGCATCGGCCCTCCTCGCGCTCCGCTCCGCCTGCCCTCCGACCCCCTCCGCTTACGGTGGAGGCCCATGCCAAGGCAAACCCTGCTTGCCTCAAGATGGGCCTGCCCCTCTACAGGAAGAATATTCAAAAATAGTCCAAAAATAATCGGGGGACTATGGTTTGACTCTTTTTTAGCATTCTGGGCGTATTTTTGGTGTATTTTTCGTATTTTGGGTGTATTTTTAATTTTCGGCCAAAATCCCAGTGCAGGGGGACAGGCCCGACTTAATGCTTGCCTCCATGGTGCCCCAGGCTTATTGGGTTTCGATGGTGTTCCTGACCAATTTGCGTGGACGTCCTGGGGTCTCAGGGTTGGGTTTCTTGTGGAAGGTTTCCTGTGGCCGATCCCTCTCCCTAGGTTGGGCATCTCCTGACTTCGGTGCCGAACTTGAGGATTCTTGTCCCTTGGCTCCTGAGGGCACATCCCTAAGACTGCCGTCGCCTGGGGCTTGCCGATGTTGGGGACAGGGACACCGCAGCCCTCCGGATGGCAGGCGCGAGGGCTGTGCAGCTTCGCCTCTGCCTGCGCACGCCCTCCTGCATCCCCCCCCCTCCCCTCGGCAGCGCTCGGGCGCGTGCATATCTCTTCCCCGTCGGGGACCATCGGGGAGCACACCCCGGACCACTGCGCGAAAAAAAACAGCGCACGCACTGGACACCCGCGCGGCGTGGCCGCCGAGAGCCACGGTGGCAGCCCCCCCCCCCCGCACACCGGACGCCCCGCTCCACCTGCGGCCCCCTTGTGGGCAGTCCCGCGCGCACCGCCGCGCGGCGGGGGGGCGGCGCGCGCGGCCGGGCAGGTGGCCGAGTGGGTCGCGGAGGAGGCCCGCCCGCGCCCCCGGGGGGGGGGGGGGGCGCCGCTGCCGACTGCGACGCTTCCTCCTCCGCCTCCTCCTCCTCCTCCCTTCTTCTCCTCTCCTCCTCTCCTCCTCCTCCTCCTCCTCCTCTCCTCCTCCTCCTCTCCTCCCTCCTCCTCCTCGATCCTCCTTCTCCTCCCCCTCCTCCTCCTCCTCGTCCTCGTCCTCCTCCTCGATCCTCGATCTCCAGGAGGAGCTGTTCGCCCCCCCCCCCTGGTGGTGACCTCCCCCCGGCACCGAGTCCGCTCCCCGCGCCCTCCCCCTGCCCGCCGCTGCCGACATGTCGAGGAAGAAAGACGGCATAAGCATAGACTGAAGTCGGGCCCGTCCCTCTACAGGGGGAATATGCGAATAGTCAACAAAAATAGTCTGGGGACCATTTTTTGAGTTTTGTTTTACCATTTTAGGGTATTTTTGGACTACTGTTCATTTTTCGTCCAACATCCCCCTGTAGGAGGACAGGCCCGACTTAAGCATAGACTGTCGGAGGACCGCGCGGATTTCTCGGATCGGCGCTGGAACCCCCCTGGCGGCGCCTCCGGCGCCGCCACTGGCGCGCCCCGCACACCAGGGATGGGGTCCAGCGCGGATCCAGGATATGCCTCCAGATGCCTTTCTGAGAGCACCTGGAGGTGTCCATTCGGGGGTATGCCTCGTGGAGGCTGCTGAGCGCCTCTGGAGACCTCCGTAGGTACAGATGTGGTTCCACCACATCCTGGGTGGGCATTTGTTTTTCATACGATCCCCTTCCTGTCTGCTTCCTTATACTCCTCCAGTGAAACCCGATGCCAAGAAATACCCTACTGGCCTCCAGGGTGCCCTGGGTTTCTTCGGTTTCGATGGTTTTGCTAAGGAGAGCGCGACGTTCCCACACCAGAAATCCATGGACGTCATGGGGTCCCAGGGTTGGGTTTCTCGTGGAAGGTTTCTTGTGGACTGGCCCCGGTTTGGTTTCTCGTGGAAGGGTTCTTGTGGACTGGCCTCCACTGTATTGCTCCTCTCGGAAGCTGGAACATCTACATTACCAGTGGCAGGTTTTTGTTTTCAATCCCACGGCTTCTTGAGGGTCGGGGAGGACGTCGGGGTGGTGTGGTGTATACCGTTCCCCCGTTTCCCACGGGAAGCAGCAAAACATGTATACACCAGGATCCCGCATACGGCAGGATCCGCGCTCTCGTGCGCCAATTTCAGCGCGGGGTCGGACAGAGCGTCGGTGTATAGAGAGTTCCTTTCCCTGTCCTCCTCCTCCTCCTCCTCCTTCCCTCCTCCTTCCCTCCTCCTCCTCCTCCTCTTCCTCCTCCTTCCCTCCCCCTGCACTCTTGGGGCTGACTGGGGCAGCCTAGGCACTCTGGGGCCATCCTCGGGCGAAGCCGTCCCGGAACCCTCTCGAGGCGAGTGGCCAGGGGAGCTCAAGGGTTACATGTTGGCCAGCGTGTACCCCGAACAAGAGGCTCTTGCACTGTGGATGTGTGAGCTACAGTGGGGCTGAGTGGGGCTGCTTGGGGCTCCTTCCCTCCTCCTGTGCTCTTGGGGCTGACTGGGGCCGCTTGGGGGGGGCGCTCTGGGGCCACAGCTGCGGGCGACGCCGTCCTGGCCCCCCCCCCTCGAGGCGAGAGGCCAGGGGAGCTCCAGGGTTACATTTTTAAGTCGGGCCTGTCTCTCTACAGGAGAAATCTTCAAAAATAGTCGGAACGTTGTCTAGGGATGATTTTTTTGACAATTTTTGCATATGTTTGGGTCTTTCTGTAAACATTTAATTTCTCGTCCAAGGTTCCCCTGCAGTGGGACAGGCCCGACATCAGGTTACATGGTGGCCAGCGTGGATCCCGAACAAGAGGCTCTTGCACTGTGGATGTGTGAGCTATGTTAAGCAACCATGGGCGGTGTGAGCTGTGCTCGGAAAAGAAAATATGACATAAGCATAGTCTTTTGGCGCTCCGCCCGGATCTGGGATCCGCGCTGGGGCCCCCTATGACGGCGCCTGCGGCGGCGCCCCTGGCGCGCTCAACGCGACAGGGAGGGAGGTCCAGCGCAGGTCCAAGAAATCCACGCGGACCTCCAAGAGTTCGTGTTTATGCAGCTGTTGTTCTTTCTTTCGATGTGGTGCAAGCCATTTGGTACAAGATATTTGGTGCAAGCTATGTGGTGCATCCCAGTTATGAGAATTTGAGGTCGCCAACTCCACTGATCGCGCTAATCATCCCATGCGGCCGCGATTGCGGTGACTCCTCGGCTCAAGTTGGCGCATCGTTCTGGTTGCGCTAGCGCGCGCAAGCTCGTAAGCAGAGCGGCCAACTGGTTTGGCACAACCGACGCGGCCGCGATGACTTACCGAGGGGATTTTCCCAGCGTGTCTCCAAAGCAGCGCTCGCGCGCGGGCCCTTCAGTGCGGGTCGGTGACTCGGGCGGGTGCGGTATCATGATGACGTCGACAACGGCCGCAACGATGGCGGCAAGGGTATTATTGATGGCGCCGATGGTGGTGACGACGATTGCGATCATGACGTCCATCTGTCGGTTACGAAGGTGATTGACCGATGATGGTGGCAGTGACAGCGATTGATGTTGACGGTACCGGCTGTGATGCGGTGGCGTTGCTGGGGGTGGTGGCGGGGAAGTGCGCGCGCGCGCGGACGTGCAAAAACAATGTCAGATTAACCGCTGGGACATAATTCTATTTCGACACGTTTCGGATACCAGTGGTTCTGGGATTTCGACATGCGCGGGTGGCGCCTTGCACTTGTCCCGCATGGTGTTTTGTTTGAACATTCGGTTTCGCGCAATGGGCGCATACCCGACCAATGCGGATGCGCCGCGTGGCGAGGTGAGACTGCGGTTTCTGGACGGGATTGCTAAACTCATACTGTTTTTCCCTGGCGTGCCCTGCCTATGATTTCGACATGGCTTCGCGCGCGTGGATTTTGCGTGCCACCTTTGCCGTGGAGTGTGGAAAACTACCTTTTGAGATCAACGGGTGCGCGCGCATAGTGCTTGACAGGGAAGAGAAGGGGTTCCGATACTTGGTGGGGGGGGGATGGTTTAGGACCAGTAGTGAAAAAAATTGACGATGGAGCAAAAGCATGTGTTATTTGAAGTGTCCAATGGGGGGCCGCTAACCCCAGCGGTGGAGGGTGGTGGATTCCATCTTCATCTTGAAAGGAGAACGTATTCGGTGCCACTGGCCGTGTGCAAGATACGTTGTGCAAGCTAAGTTGTGCCATTCGGTTTTGTTCACTGGTGTTGAGCCCTGCTCTCTTTGATCTTTCCTCTCTCCTGCCTTAAGCGCTCTGAATTGTGCCTCGCGTTTACGCCACGGTGATGCACTGCCGCTTTTGAACCCGCTCCCCTCTTCACAGCACAGGAACAAAGTGACTGGATTCATGCGGACGTCTTGCTTCATAGATGTATCGTTGTCCAAGGCCAATTCGTTTCCATGTGCGATGGGCGTGGAAGTTCCATTCAAATGTGCCGCTGACCAGTCGGTGTTTCTTGCGGGATGGTGAGCCAGGGTGCCCCTCGTGCCAGTGTGAGAGTATGGTTGAAGGTGCGATGAGTAGCACATGCAATGCGCTACGATTATGTTGCCCCAGTGTTCGCACTCTGCTTCCCGTTGTCTCCACTGTCTATTATTGTTCTCCTGCTGCTCGGGCAGCGCGGCCTGCTGCCGCCTCAGGAGCCGCGTATCATCCAGCACTGGACGGAGCGACGTCTTCAGACTTCCTTCCAGCGAGCCTCTTCTTGTGTACAGTCAACTCGCATAGTAAGGATGGGCAACCTTTCCAAGGGTATCCTTGCATCACTGCCTTCTCGGCTCATCCTTGGTCGCTTTCATTGGCCGCGGCCCGCTCGAACAGCTTCGAAATGGGCGTCCAAGGCCCTTGCATCCTTATCGCGCATCCTTACGAGGCGGGTTGACCGTATAGGGCAGCAGCGGCGAGTCCCGATCGGGCTCGCATCCGGGAAGGGCGGAATGCCTTGGCATCGCTCGGACGTGTGCATTTGTTCTCGGCGAGGACCTCGAGGAGCATCCTTGACCATTTGGCGAAAAAAACACGCACGAAACCGAACAAAAACACAGGGAATGGACGTCCGAGCGATGGCGAGATGCATGATTCGATCGATTGACGGGCTAGTTTCGACGGCTGCACGTTGAGCCGATCGCTTCGGCTTCGCCACGGGCGCACCGCCGACGACGGCGGTCGCCCTCCGTGGAGGAGGCTCGGCTTTGCCTGTCCGACTGTGCAAAGGGTTCCATCGATCTGCGATTCGGGGCAGTCTCTTGCTTGCCACGGAGGAGGGTGGGTGGGTGGGCGGATGGGTGGAGGGGGAGGGGGAGAAGGACAGGAGCAGGAGGAGGAGAGGAGGGAGGACGCGCGAGGCGAAGGGGAGGGGAGGTTACGGCACCTTCCGATTGAGGAGAAGGATTGCTCCAGCGCAGCAACGAGTTGGAGAGAGGCACGTGGGAGGAGCGAGCATGCAGGAATGGAGATGATGGATGAGTGCGGTGTAAGAGGGTTCGAGGAGGAAGCAGAGCACGCGCATAGGAACGACGAAATCTTTCTGGCCAGAGGACGCGGATGACAAGGTGGAAGATGAGACACCGACGGAGGAGGGAGGTACCAGTGGGATATGTATGGCACGACGAGGATGCGGAGAACACTGCGGAGTTTGGGGAGCAGGAGAAGGTGGATGATGCTTGGGGTAAGGATGATGACAGTGGTACACACGGCACGGCTGCGGGCCCGCGGACGGTCGGGATGGCCACCAGCAGCCGCCTTGGCTAAGCACACTACATAAGACGCCTGGGGAGGGCATGCATACAGTGGGTGCCCATGTCAAGGAACACACTGCTTGCCTCCAGGGTGCCCTGGGTTTCTTGGGTGTCGATGGTTCTGCTATGGGAAGCGTGACGCTCCCACACCAAAAATCAATGGACGCCCTGAGGTCTCAGGGTTGGGTTTCTTGTGGAGTTTTTTTTATGGACTGGTCTCCTCTGCATTACATAAATAAGATGCCTGTGGAGGGCATGCATACCAGGGACACGAGAAGGGAGAAGGACTGACGCGGGATAACGGGGAATGGCGGGGGAGGGTGGGTGGGTTGGTGGTGAGGACGGACGATGGTAGTGAGGAAGGAGTTCACCGGGCCGAGGAGAACGAGCATGATGAGTGTGGGGGTAGGGGGAGGGGAATGGCACTACACAGGCACAGGAAGAAGCAGCAAGGGGATGGTGATGATGACCATGACGCATGATGAGGATTGGGGTTCAGTGTTGCCTGTGCTGCTTAGCACTCCCCCTGGTTGTTCCGGTCGAGTGGACGAGAAGAAGGAGGAAGCGCAGGAGGAGGAGGAGGAAGAAGAGAATGATGACCACGAAGACGATGCTATTGAGGATGGCGATGATGAAAGATGAGAGGAGGAGGTGGAGGAGGAGGAGGAGGAGGAGGAGGAGGAGGAGAAGCAGCTGAGGGCTCTGTCGGTACGGCACTCCAGCCAACAGGCGACAGGCAACACGCAACAGGAGGAGCAGCCGCAGGATCAGAAAGGAGCAGGAGGATCCAGGAGGGCCATGGACAGGCTGATGCGAGGGAGAGAGGCTGATGTGTGAGGCCGATCATGACAAGAGGAGGAGGAGGAGGAGGAGGAGGAGGAGGAGGAGGAGGAGGAGGAGGAGGAGGGGGAGGGGGAGGAGGGGGAGGAGGAGGAGGAGGAGGAGGAGGAGGAGGAGGAGGAGGAGGAGGAGGAGGAGGATCCAGGGTGACCGTGAAGGGGCCGATGTGAGGGCGAGGGGCCACGCCCGTTCTCTTCGGGCAGGCGGCGGCTGCCCCGCGTGCCCCGGCTCGTGCACCTCTCGGCTCCCTCGCCCCTTGGCATCGCTCGGACGTGTGCATGTTGTTCTCGACGAGGACCATCGAGGACCATCCTGGACGACCATCGAGCGAAAAAAAAACACGCACGACACCGAAGCATGCACGGGAAAAGCTCAATCAGTGGACGGTTTTCGCTGAGGGGATCGACCTGGAACTCGAGAGCCCGGGGACCCAGAACCCACCGAAATCGGCCCAGAAGCAATAACCGGGAACCCAGGAACCCGGGATCGGAGCCCGGGAACCCAGCCTGCTGCCGAAGTCGGCGGGGAACTTTTGTTGCCAGATCTTCCCACTTCCGCCAGAGGACCCCTTCGGTGCGAGCACTGATGTGCGAACCATGCGCGGGACCTGGACGGCCGAGCGACGGCGAGCGCCTGCCCCTCCGGGCCGCCCCCGCTCCCCGCCCCGGCGTGCCGCTGGCTGCGCTGCCCTCGCTGGGGCCGCCCTCTCGGGAGGCCCGGCCTGCGCCCCGCCCCCCTGCTGCGGCCCTGCCCCGCAGGCTGAAGTCGGCCCCGTCCCTCTGCAGGAGGAGTGCAGTCAACGCGCCCAGTAAGGACACGCGCCTTCATCTAGGATACCTTTGCGTCCTTGCCTCTGTGGCCCGCCCTTTGCCGTTTTCACTGGTCGCCGCCGCCCAAAAAAGATCCTAAATTCAGCCTTCAAGGGTCTTGCGTCCTTACCACGCGTCCTTACGATGCGTTTTGACTGCACAGCCAAGACGCTGAAAGAAGGAGCAGTCTGGGTTCGGAAGGGGCTCGATGTTCCTGAGGTTCCTCCAGTGCTGTTCCTCCTGCCTTCCTGGGGCACGGAGGCGCTTGCAGGGCCAAGAAGGGGCTTCGCTCCCTCTTCATAGGGCGAAGGGAACTATGCGCATGCACCGATCCTGGTAAGGCCCATCCTTGACCCAGGATCGGTGTATATGCTTTCCTGGCCACTTTAGGAGGGCGCATGCACCGATCCTGAGCTCAGGACGGACCTGGCCAAAATCGGTGCATGTGCATGGTTCTTTTTCCTCTAATGTAGCGTTCCTTCTTTCAGCGGCCCGACTGCGCAGGGGGAGCACTCAAGAATGATCCACAAAATGGTCCAGCACGGCTCGGCTCCCTCGCCTGCCCCTCGGGGCCGCCCCCGCTCTTCTTATTCGTGAAATCCTCATTCGTAGCATTCTTCTCAGCACTCGTAGTGTTGGTAGTATTGTTCGTCCTCGTCTCCTTATTACTATGATTCGTAGTCGTCTTCTTCCTCGCATTTACAGTCTTATTCGTATCATGATTCTTAGCATTCGTATTGTTCGCATTTCTATTCGTCTTCGTCTTCTTATTACTATTATTCGTAGTCGTCCTCTTCGTCGTATTCGTAGTCTTGTTCGCCTTCGTGTGCTCCTCGCCCCGCAGGCGCCGCCCGCTGCGCGCGCCTCGCCCCCCGTGGGCCGTGCCCTCCGGAGGGCCCCCGGGGGCCCGCGCCCCGCCCTCTGCGGCCCTGCCCCGCAGGCCCGAAGTCGGCCCTGGCCTCGTGAGGGTCCAAGCTACTTTGAAGTCGGGCGTGTTCCCCCTACAAGATGGATTTACAGTCCAAACATAGTCAGAACATAGTCCAAAAATGCTCGGGGGATCTTCGACGAAAAACGAAACAGACCCCAAACATAGTCAGAACATAGACCAGAAATGCTCGGGGGATGTTCGACGAAAAATAACATATACCCCACACATAGTCAAAACATAGTCCAAGCATAGTCTTTTGAGTAGGTTTTGAGTTTTGGGGGGCATTTGTGTAGTATTTTTTCGTTGGGAATCCCCCTACAGGGCGTCTCCTCCTACAAGGGGGATTTTCGACGAAAAACGAAGCATACCCCAAACATAGTCACAACAACATAGTCCAAAAATACTGGGGGGACTATTTTTGATTATGTTTTGACCTTTTGGGTGCATTTTTGGGGCATTAGTTTTTATTTTTCGTCGAAAGTCCCCCTGTAGGGGGACAGGCCCGACATACACCTTCTTTAGCCTTGTGTTGTTCCAACCTGGAGTGTTATTTTTTAACACTCTGGAAGGTCAGGGTATCGTTGCCCCCGATCGTCGCCCCTCACCAGGGAGCGGTCCATAGGTACCTTCCCGGCCAAGCCAGGAGGGCGCCAGTGCTGCAGGGCGCCCCCCCCCTCAGCACCAAAGGGTTTATGATGTTCCAACCTACTTCAGCCTTGATCACCAGCATGCGTTTTTTCGGTCACCGAGAGAACACCCCACGACTCGAGGGTTTTCACGTGTCGGGCCCTGGGAGAGACACTCTTTCGACACTCTTTCGGCACTCTTTCGACACTGTTCTGCAAGAGAACACTCCAAGACTCGAGGGGTTTTCACGTGTCGGGCCCTGGGCGACACTCTTCCGACACTTGTTCGACACTCTTTCGACACTGGTTCGACACTCTTTCGACACTTTTCTGGGTGCTCGAAATTATTTCTGGGATGTGGTCCTTACGTGCGATGGGAGCAACATAACCCTGGCCCTCTACAGGAGGAATGTTCAAGAGCAGTCAAAAAACAGGGGCGATTGTTTTACCATTTGTGCTTAGGTTTGAACGCATTTTTGGGAGTACTCTTCTTATTTCCCGTCCAAGCGCTGCCCCGCAGGCTCAAGTCGACCCTGGCCCTCTACAGGAGGAATATTCAAGAGTAGTAGAAAAATAGTACAGGGACGATTTTTCGACTGTTTTCGCACACGTTTGAATGCATTTTTCGGGTTACTCCTTATTTTCCGTCCAAGCTCCGCCTGCAGGGGGACATGCCCGACCTAACCGCAGGAGGTGACGTCCGACTGCATCCAGAGGCTCGACGAGCTGGACGAGGAGCTGGTGGCCGACGCGCAGGCTGCTCCCCCCCTGACAGGGCTCGTTTCGATGCCTCCGATTCGATTCGATGTGATTCGACTGCGATGGCTTCCGATGCCGAATCGATTCGACCTGGGATTCCGACTCGGACTCCGCTTCCTAACTGGAGGCATACCAGCCTGCCGATTTCCGCCGATTCGACTTCTCCCGATTCGGGTGCCGATTTCCGCCTATCCGATTCGTTTCGGTCGCCGATCCGACGTACACCTGAGGCGATGCTTAAGAAAACGTAAGTTTTCGGCCAGAGTCTCGATTATTCTTAATGTTTCAATGTAAATCCTAAGATTTGAATAGACATTCTGGGTTTTCATTCAGATTCTGAGACTACGAATGTCTTAACCCATGATTTCTAAAGCATTTCGCAGGGTGTATCGATGCGATTTCTGGCTCGCCTGCCCCTGGGGCATGCGTGCGCGCGGCCGGCAACTTTAGACTCGGCGTGCCGCCTCGCCGCTTCTGGCCCACAGCGCTCGGGGGCGACACGCGATCTCGGTGAAGAGTCATGGGAGCCTCGTATACTCCAGATTTCGTAATAAAGGGAGGTGGGTCTCATTTCGGGGGGGGTCTCTTCCAGGCTATCTTGGAGGGCCTGGGGGTCTGGGGACGATGTTTTGGAGGGTTCTCCCACGGGGGAGGTCTGGAATGGCTTGTCTTGGAGGGTCCAGACTCCCTCCCTTTTATTACGAAATCTGGTATACCCTCTTGATTCTGCCTTGATGGTCGACTCGCGTCGAGTAGCGTCTGGAGTCGAGGAGATAGCGCCGATTTGGCGTCGATCAGCGTCGATTTGGCGCCGATGAGCGTCGATTCGCAAGAGCCGACAAGATGGTATGGGAGGCTCTCATGAGTTGCCACCGAACGCTATCCACGCCACCAAAGGCACAGACGGCTTCTGGGAAGGCGCGAGGGCTTCTGAGAAGTCCCGCCGCCTTTGGGAAGGCCTTCTCCTTCTCACTTCCCCCCCTCGCTCGCCGCCGAGTTTCTTCTTCGGCGAGTGCCATCGGGGGGAGCCCTTTGGGCCATCTTGCGAGAGATGGACGGACTTTTGTGCTTGGAGGAGGCCGGGCGGGCCCTGGAGGATCGGTTTTCTCGCCGTCTTTTGTTTTCTTTTCCGGCACCTTTCTCTCTTTCTCCTTCTCTCTCTCTCTCTTTCTCTTTCTCTCTCTCTCTGTTTTTTTGCACTTCTTTGGAGGCTGGAGGGACGACACGAACCAGGGGCGTGTCTCTTGCAGCCGGTCGATGTCTGGGCGCGAAATCAGACGGGGGGGGGGGGCGGGGGCGATAAGCGGGGGGGGCAGCGGGGGCTGCCGAGAGTGGGCCCCGTGAAGGGCCTATCGGGGCCCCAAAGAGGGCCTCAAGGGCCCGAGAAGAGCCCCTCTCTCTCCCGCATTTATCGCCCCCCCCCCCTCCAGTTAGTTTCGGGGAAGCGTAAGACTCGAGTAAGCCGGAACTCGGGTTTGCCGACATTTTTTGACGAGCGCGTCCTGGATTTTGACGGTTCAGTTTTCGTGGGATGTCTGCAGCGGGAGTTCGCGTCAAATTTCAGATTGGGTCTCGTCATTTTTATGGTGGCCCCGTCAGGCCAACCCGAGTCCCCCGTACCCGAGTCTTACGTCTCCCCGATAGTTCGCGCCAAAGATGTGTTTGTCGAGGCGTGTCAGTTGTTGACTTGTGTCGCGCGGTTTGGTGATTGTGGTGTTGCCGTGTGTTCCCGGGGCCTTCCCCACCTCATCCTCGCGATCCTCACCCTTCCCTTCCAGAACGCGGGGGTAAAGCTGGAACCTGCAACACACAAGCGGTGCGGGAACGTTACGAAGTCTACAAAATTGGCACACAGGCTCACTGGCCGTTGCGGGGAGTTAGAGCGCATTTCTAGTCACATTGGTGATGGAACAAAACAGGTTGACAGCGAAACGCTGAAACAACAAGCGCTGTTATAGCGATTCTAGTTCTTACGCTGAGATTTGAGAGCTCCCATCATGGGCTCCAATGCGACGAATGGCTTACCTCGTGGCCTTCGGCCCATCTTGCCACCGCGCCGGGGTTGCGGGTCAGAGTTCTCAGGGATGCGTCTTCGGGTCTCTTCGGGGCGCTCTCGGGGGCCTCTTGGGTGCAGTTTGTTGGTGCCTCTTTGGAGCCTTTTTTGGGGGGGGCTCTTGGGAGCGGGTACTCTGTCGTAAGCTGGCATCCACGACGCCGCCCTTGGCATCGTTCGGACGTGTGCATTCGTCTCGGCGTGGACCGTCGAGAAGCATCCTGGATCGTCGGGCAACAGCCAAAAAAACGCGCACGACGCCGAAACATGCACCGAACATGGACGTCCGAGCCATGGCAAGTGTAAGGAAACATTATGTTCGGATGGTGAGTTCGCCTTGGATTTCGGCGGAGTTGCTGGTGTAAAATTGTTTTCGTATTTCTTGGACGACGGGCACGTGAAGCGACGGATGGTAGGCGGTCGTTATGTTCAAAATTCGAGTGCTGTGTTTCATGATCCGTGAGCTGTCGGCATCAGAGTCCGATTTGAGTATGACACGCGCTTTGTCAAGCTATTGTACTATGTGCTCCTCCAGCCTTGGGGGGAGAACTTGAGAAGGAGGATGGAGGAGGACGATGAGGAGGAGATGTGAGGAAAGGAAGTTGGGGGATGAGGAGGAGACGGAGGATTATCAGGACAAGGTGGAAGCCTCTTGGGGGCCTCTCTGGGCTCTCCTGAGGCCTCCTGGGGGCTTCCCTGGGGTCTCCTTGGCGTCCTCTGATGGTTCTCTGGGGGGGGGCTCTTTGGCGTCTCCTGGGGGGCCTTTGGGGGCTGATCTGGGTGATCTTGGGCCGTCCCGGGGCTCCCGTGGCCCGTCGGACGTATCCGTTGGCCGTCTTGGGGGCGGGGGGGCTCCCCGGACTCCGTCTGCGAGCCTCAGGGTCGTAATTGAGGCACCCCAATCGAGGCATAATCGAGGCATAATCGAGGCGTTGGGGGGGGGGGGTGCTCCCCAATCGAGGCGCACCGCCGAGGCCCTCGCGGGGCCGCCCCACGAAGGCCTCGCGGAGCGCCGCGCGAGCGAGAGGCGCGCCGTGCACGCGGCGCTCCTGCCCTTCAGGGGATCAAGGGGGGGTACACTTCATCGGGGGCGGCAAAGAGGGGGGCGATGACTGGGGGGGGGTGGGTATCATGGCGGGGGCCATGATATCTCCCCAGATTTGGCGGGGCCATGATATCTCCCCAGACTTCCTGGCGCCCCTGCTCATTCCAGTACGTCCCTGGCCCCCCCGCTGGGCCGCGCGCATGCCGCCGGTCATGATTTGCACTCCCCCCCTCTTGGACACCCCCCTCTTGGCCGCTCCCGAAAGGGGGGTACACTTAGGTCGGGCACGTCCCTCTGCAGGAGGACGATTCAAACATAGTCAAAAAATAGCGCGGGGACAATTCGTCGACTACTTTTGATCGGTTTTGATTCTTTCTGGGGCATTTGTGATTTTCTCCAGAATCTGCCTGTAGGGGGACACGCCCGACCTAAGGGTGCACGGCTCTGTGACTGGGAGCGGCCGGCCCTATCGGAAAGGCTGGGGGGGGGGACGAGGAGGGAAATGGGCGGGGGGGTTCTCGTCAGCAAATCAGGGGGGCCTGGTATGCCCTCCTCATTTTGTCCTTTGCGTCGATTGGCGTCTGGGAATCGACGAGATAGCGTCTAGTAGCGTCGACTAGCGTCGATGTAGCGCCGATTAGCGTCAATTTAGCGTCGATTAGCGTCGATTCGCAAGAGCCGACAAGATGGTAAACAAGGTTCCCATGAGTTACCACCGAAGGGGTGGGGTCGTGGGAGGATGACCTAGACCTCCGACGTTGTGTTTTGCTCACGGTGAGGACCCCCGGACATCTCTTGCCTATCGGCGGGCTGTTTTTGTTCGTCCCATTTTTGTACGGTCCTGGCTCCCGAGAGTGCCTCCGATGCCGAAAGTGGGGGAAGACGTTTGTCGATTTTCTTGGGACGCCTAGAAGTCTCGCGACGCTCAGAATCAATCCCAGGACCGAGCGCGGACGCCGTCCTTTTTTGAGACACGTCTAGACGCGTCGACGACGGACACCCAGGAGCCCATTCCCTTTACATGAAGCGTATTCGGTGGTACGTCCTCATCTTTCCTCGATGTCTGGCGGCCTGGAAGCAGCCAGGTATGCAATTTCTGGGAGGCTAAATTATGAATCCGCGCTGGCTTACGAATAGTCGAAGACTGGTCTGGTCTTCTGGCGAAGACCTCTCAGGAGTTGCCTCCTGAAGAAGAGGAGGTTGGACGGGGCTAGGACGAGGATCATTCCATTCCAGAGCGTTCCGGAACGCTCTCCGAGCGTCCCAGAACGCTCCGAGAAGGCCGCGGTGCCCGACACATCTTCCAGGGCCGCGGGATCTCAGAGAGACTCGGTTTATCTTCACCAGAATGTATTTTCGTCCTGACCTCGTCTTAGGACGAGAGGGCCTGGCATCGCTCGGACGTGTGCATTTTTTCTCGGGGCGAGGACCATCGAGGAGCATCCTGGGCCATTTTGCGAAAAGAGCCGCGCACGAAACCGAGAAATGCACGGGGAATGGACGTCCGAGCGATGGCAGAAGGAGGCCCCCCCGCCCCGTCCGCCAGGTTGGGCAGGTCAGGGCGCTCTCCGACCTGCAGGGGGCGCTGTCCAGGCCTCGCCGCCCCTGCGCCCCCTCCCCAGACTTCAGTCGAGCCTGTCCCCCTACAGCGGGCATATTCAAAAACAGTCGAACAATAGTCTGGGGACGATTTTTGATCATTTTTGCCCATTCGGGAGGACTTTTTTTGAGTATTTTTCATTTTCGTCCAGAATCGAGCTGGCACCGTCGAACCAGGAGCTTATGTATACTATGCCGTCCCTCCTTTCTCGCTCCTCCTCCCTCCCCCCCTCCTGCTGCTGCTGCTGCTCCTCCTCCTCCAATCGCGCACGCTGTGCATTATGAGACAGCCGACGTGCAGTCGCTCCGGCAAAGCGGCGAGTTCAAGCTGGCAATTGTCTTTTGCCCACGCGCTCTGGCGTATGGCAGTTCGTTCCTTCGTTCGTCCAAGATCCCCCTGAAGGGGGACAGGCCCGACCTAACCCCAGACCTCTCACGACTTGCTCCCTCCCGGGCGGCTTCATTTGTTGAGTATTTTTCATTTTCGTCCAATCTTCCCCTACAGGGGGACAGGCCCGACCTAACCCCAGACCTCTCACGACTTGCTCCCTCCCGGGCGGCTCCCCCGGCCCTCTTGTCGGTGCCCATGGAGGCCTCCCCGGGGCGTCGGGAGCCCAGCTCGAGCCAGCTAAGACTTGGGAACGCATCAGGACGGGAACATTCAGGAGGGGAAACAACACACAGACACAAGTAATCGTCGACTCCCAGGAAGATATGGAAACATATGTGAACTGGGGGGGGGAAGACAAAACCCAGAAAGTATGGGAAAATCTGGGGAATCTCTTTATCTGTGTGTATTTATTTGTGTGTCCCAGGGCCCCTTCGATCATGCCCTTCGGAGGCCCGCACGGATCCATCCGATCGGCGCTGGCGCCCCCTGGCGGCGCCCCAGGCCCTGGCGCGCCGCGCGCCAGGGAGGGTGGTCCGGCGCCGATCGACGAACTCCGCGCGGACTTCCACGCCAGCTCCTCTCCAATCAGGAGGGAAAGAAGCACACAGACACAAAATTAATCGTCGACTCCCAGGAACATATGCAAACATATGATATCATATGGGAAGTGGGGGGGAAGACAAAAACCCCAAAAATATGGGAACAGATGGGGAATCGTTTTATTCACTACATAGGCTCTGCCTAGGAGGGTTCTTACTCTCTTAGCTTAAAGGGGCCGGGCAGTGTAAATCGCCCCGGGCGGTTCCCCCAGTCCCCGCCCCGCGGTTCCCCCAGTCCCCTGAGAGCTTTAGCTTTAGCTTTAGCTTAGCTTTAGCTTAGCTGTAGCTTAGCTTCAGCTTAGCTTCAGCTTAGCTTTAGCTTAGCTTTAGCTTAGCTTCAGCTTAGCTGTACCTTAGCTTTAGCTTGGCTTTAGCTTAGCGGCACCTTAGCTTTAGCTTAGCTTTAGCTTAGCTTTAGCTTAGCTTTAGCTCAGCTTCAGCTTAGCTTTAGCTTAGCTTCAGCTTAGCTTCAGCTTAGCTTTGGATTAGCTGTACCTTAGCTGTACCTTAGCTTTAGCTTAGCTTTAGCTTGGCTTTAGCTTAGCTGCACCTTAGCTTTAGCTTAGCTTTAGCTTAGCTTTAGCTTAGCTTTAGCTTAGTTTTAGCTTAGCTTTAGCTTAGCCTTTACCCTAGCTTTAGCTTAAGTTTAGCCTTTACCGTAGCTTTAGCTTAGCGTTAGCTTAGCTTTAGCTTATCTGCACCTTAGCTGTAGCTCAGGTTTAGCTTAGCGGTAGCTTAGCCTTAGCTTAGCCTTAGCTTAGATTTAGCTTAGCTTTAGCTTAGTTTCATCTTAGCTTTAGCTTACCTTGAGCTTAGCTTTGCTTAGATTTAGCTTAGTTTTAGCTCAGCTTTAGTTTAGTTTCCATTTAGCTTTAGCTTAGCTTTAGCTTTACTGTTCGTACTAATGCTGCTTTCCTAGGGGCTCCAACTCCTATGTAGGGTCGCACTGGGATAAATTGTGTGTATTTATTTGTGTGTCCTGGGGCCCCTTCATCCAAGGCTCCCGGTCGGGCATCCTCGCAGCGGGTGGCTCGAGCCGGCAGCGGGTCCCTTCTTACTCGTTCCCAAAACCTCGTAGAGCTCTTGGTCTGACCAGAGCTAGAGGAGGACTTCGGCGACGGGGCGAAGCCAGTTGGCCAACCCTCGGAACAGTGACGTCTTGGTCATCTTGGAGGCCACGGAAGTAATCTTTGGGCGTTCTGGAGGCTCCAGGGCTGCGCCCAGCGAGCTCGCTTCCCCACGGCCCGGCCCCGCCTGGCAGGTCCCCCCGTGGCCAGCCTCGGGAGTTTTGAGGCGTGGGACAGTGCAAACGGGGGTCAATGCCTCCCCATCCTCCTCCTCCTCCTCCTCCTCCTCCTCCTCCTCCTCCTCCTCCTCCTCCTCCTCCTCCCTCCTCCCTCTCCCTCCTCCCTCCTCCCTCCTCCCTCCTCCTCCTCCCTCCTTTCCCTCCTCCCTCCTCCTCCCTCCTCCTCCCTCCTCCCTCTTCACCTCCTCCTCCTCCTCCTCCTCTTCTTCCTCCTCCTCCTCCTCTTTCTCGTTCGGTAGCAATTCATGGGAGCCTGGTGGGTCGTCCTCGTTGCCACGGCTGGATCCGCCTCGAGATGCTGACCAGCACTGCACTGCAGACGGGGGTCAGCCTGAGCGCCCCGCCCCGATCTTGCAGGATCCTGCAGGGCCAGTGTCGCGCTGACCCGGGTTTGGGTGCAGGATCCTGCAGGATCTCGCAGGATCCTTCGCATTTCACCCAGGTTTGGGTGCAGCATCTGGCTGGATTTTGCAGGATCTTGTTAGGCCCGACTGACCTGGGTTTGGCTTGACCCTGGTCAGAAAATCCCCGCCGGCCCCCCCCCCGCCCCCCTCCCCCCCCCTGAAATGCGATGTCGGACGCTGGGGGAGCGGAGATGGAGGAGGGGGAACAGCCAACTGTTCCACACGCTGGGTCCCCCCCCCCCTGGCCAGCGGGGAATCGGGGGTCGGCGCTTCTTGTTCCAATATGCGGGGCCCCCGGAGCTCTGGAACTTTCCTTGTTGACGGTCTCGGGGCCCTGCGAGAGCCCCCGGACGCCGGAATTTACGGGATGTGTCCATCCTGATTCCTTCGCCGGACAAGGAAGGACAACAGGAGGCCGATGCGTGTCCTTCGTTGTCGCCTTTTCAGGCCTGCATGGGGGCCCTCTCCACCACGGCTGTGGATTCGCCTCGGAGTCTCAGGAGTAGGGATCTCGCGAATTCGTCGAAATCTTAGAAAAATGAGGCCCTCGCTCGAGACATCCTCAAAACATGGGATAGTGGACGAGCTGCTTCGAGACGTCTTCAGTTCAAAATGGGGCTCTCGCTCATGTTTGCGAGCGCTGACCTCAGACAGTGGGTCTTCGCACTCTCGATGTGCCATCCTTGTGGTGCAGTCTGTTGATGGTGCAGCATGGGTGGTGCAACTTATGGTAGATCACTGTGCGATGAAAACTATCGATGTGGTGCATTTTATGTGGTGCCATGCTCATGGATGCAACTTACTGTGTTGCCACATGTATGCTGCAAGGTTATGTGTTGAATGCTACGTTGGGCAATATTTACGTTGTTTTTGACTACGTGTGAAATCAATGTGTCAACTCCGATGCTCGCGACATCCTCCCTCCTTTCCCCCCGCAACTCGTTTGGCGTAGCCCATTCGGCCGCGCTTGCGGCTTCCGATTGAACTCTGCCAGCGCATCTCTGCGGCCGCAGTGACGCGTGCACGTCCCCGCGCAGGTCGACCAGCTTGCTTGGTACAAGTGACGCGGCCACGATGACCCTTACCGATGGAGACGTCCGAGCGCGTCCGAGGAAGACTGCGCTGGCCCGCGGGCGCTTCGGTGCGGGTGGCTGGCCCTCGCGCTGGCGCGAATTCACAATGCCTTCGACAACGGCGGCTGCGATGATCACAGCGATGGTGACGGCGGTGATGACGACGACGACGACGACGAGGCCAATGACGTCGCCGATGTTGGTGACGGTGATAGCGATAATGATGCTCACGTGTCGGCGACGAGGGTGGTGATGTCCATGATGTCCGCATTGGCGGCGCATGATGACGCCGGAAGCGTCACCCCCTCAATTTCCATTGGGTAGCAACTTGACGAACGACAACAATTCTAAATCGCATTCGTCTTTTTGTTGTGAATGAAGCGGCGTCGTCCGTCCGGTTCGAAACGAGCCCGGCGCGCGCCGCTGGCACGCGCGCGGGGGGATGACGCGCGCGCGCAAGCAAGAAGCGAATCGCCAAGAACAGCGCATAGTCCGTCCGCGTTGCACACCGTGCAAGACTGGCGTCAACGCGAGAGCCATGATTCGGGGCGGGCGGTGCTTTCAGAGGTGCATTCGCAGATCACTCAACGCAGGCTGACGTTTCAGTTGAGGAATGTGGGAAATCAGCCCGATGTTTGTTGTAGCGATTTGTCGGTGGATCCTGCGTTGCGAGTGGAGGTGAGAAGCGGCAGGAAGGTGGTGGCGCTGGCGGGGGCGATGTTGAAGTGCGCGCGCGCAGAAATTTCCTACATCCGGCAGACTGTTCATTGATATTATGTTGGTGTTGCATACGTTTTTGAAGAATGAGGTTTCGAAGTGCAAGCACGCGATTTAGAGAAGGACGTCGAAACGCGAGCGTGGCGGCGCGGGCGCGCAGCCCGCGTTGCGTTGTTTGATGCCACCTTGTTTACTGGGCGCATCCTGGATCAGCGTGAGTGCGCCGCGTTGTGGGATGGCACCCGGGTTCTTGTTCGTGGTTCCAGCAAGCGCGCGGGCAGGACATATGCAAGATTTGTCGTGCATTTCGGCTGTTGTTCTCTCGGAGCCGCGCGACAGCCCGTGCCCCCCGCTGACTGACAGACTCAATTCAACGAAACATTAAATTGGAGGGACGTTTTTAATTGCACATTTCAGCCCTCCCGCGGGCGCAACCGCAACTGCAACCAAGCGACGCATTTCAACTCGCCCGCGGGCGCAGACGCAATCGCTTGCAAACGACGCATTTCAACCCGCCCAGCGGGCGCAACCGCAAGCGCCTCCAGTCCTCCCACGGGCGGATCTTGGAAGGAAACTGGCCAATACTATCGAACAGAAAGCATAGAACGTGGCCACACCTTTCTCCCCCCCCCAAAAAAAACAAAACAAATCGTGCCCCGACGAATTTTCTGTACTATTCGTGGAATCTGCTCCTCCTGTGGAGGGACATGCCCGGCTTAGCCTTAAGTCGGGCCTGTCCCCTACAAGGGGGATTTTCGACGAAACATAAAACATATTCAAAAACAATAAATAGTCCGGGGACTATTTTTTTGGTATTTTCTGATTTTTGTGGGGTATGTTTGGGGTGTGTTTTATTGTTCGTCGAAAATCCCCCTGTAGGGGGACACGCCCGACATAAGCTTAGCCCTTGCACTGTGTCCATTCGTGTTTGGACGCCCTTAAATGGGAACGGAAAGAGTGGGCACAATGCCCAACAACACATGCTGTCCCAAACCGACAGCGTGCCCGACCTAGCAGCACGACCCGGGAGTGGCCCGCCGGCGCACGCGGGGGAGGTTTGTGCCCATGGGCAGCCACCGATCGCCAGCGTGGAAAAAAGCGGGAGGCCTCTTACAGTAGAGGCCCGTGCCCAGAAACGCCCCCCCGTTTGCCTCCAGGGTGCCTTGGGCTTCTCGGGCTTCGATGAAGTCGGGCCTGTCCCTCTACAGGAGGAGTATATGCAAAAATTGTCAAACCACATATTTTGGGGACGATTTTTTGTTTTACCATGTTTGAATGTTTCATGCCATTTTTCTACTACTTTTTATTTTTCGTCTGTAGGGGGACAGGCCCGACTTAAGGCCCGTGCCCAGAAATCGGACAGGCGCAGAACTACACCTTGGGCGAGTAGATTAGCTTCTTGCGCGGATCCCCACATTCCAAAATTACTTTTGCGAAATCGTCTTACGTATTGGCTCGCCCGCCTTACGAGGGGCCGATCGCGCCTGTCGGATTTCCCGGGGCCTCGACTTCGATTGCCAGTGTCAGTGTGGAATCAAGACTTGCGCCCCACGAGCGGATTGGAGGATGAGCGCAAAGTGAGTCTTTCAGCTGCGGGGGGGCGCGGGCGTTTGCCGCCGCGCAGGGGCCAGGGGCAATTGGGAAACGTTCAGGAAAATGGAGGGCGGCAGGTAGAGGAAGAACGGGGGAGGTGGAGGGCAAAGCAGCAGGCGGGAATGGGGAACATAGTGACCAGGCAAAATGCTCTCATAGGGGGGGCGATGTGGGCGGAGGCCGCGGGTGGAATTCCCTCGGGAAGCCCCGCGACGTTCAGACACCTCCGCCCGGAGGCCGGCAGGGGGTTCAGCGGCCCCTGCCTTCCTGACTCTGCGGGCGGGGCGCGACGACGCACCCGACCTGTACCCCGCCCCTTTCGCTAGGTGCCGGTCTGTGCGTGTTCGCCCCGCGCGAGACATCCAGCACGTTCAGAACTACACTTAGCCAGGCACTAGGTGTAGTTCTGTACGTGCTGGTTTCGCCGGAGACATCCTCACAAAACGGAGCACTTATAAAACTACACCTAGCCAGCGGGGCGGGGTGCATGTCGGGTGCCGCCACTCGCGCTCCCAACGAGTACCGCGCCCCGGCCGCTAAGTGCCGTTCTGTACGTGTCCCCGTTTCGCGAAGCATCGGCTGCCCGCGCTGCCCATCGCCGAGGCCCTGTCCCCTGGGCCGCTTCCCGCCGACATCCCACATCCCCTGGCTCAGCGAACCCAGCCGTCTGCTTGGGGGCCTCGACCTCGCGCGGCCCGCTTCCCTCCCCCGCCTGTGCCCCAGCAGCAAATTCGCGATCCGACCCCGCGCGCGATTTCGAGTTCTTCTTCGTGCCGGATTCCCCGTCCGAGGGTGAAACGCTTGTTCGTGTTATGATTTTTCTTGCGGCTGCCGCTACGCTTCGCCGTGAAACATGGCGATCGCTTCCACGCTTGGCGCGCAACGTCGTCGGCGCGACCATCGTTTTCCATCGTAGGTCGCGAGGCGGCGTCCGTCCACCCAGACTGACCGACGCGCCAAATCGAATTATGATTGCCACCCCTGGTCCCCGCAACAAGGTGCAGTTTTGTGGTGTGTAGTTGTAGATGTGTTCGAAAAAAACACCCCCGCGTGTGCCTCCAGGCTGCCCTGGGCTTCTCGGGCCTCGATGGTTTTGCGACGGCAAGCGCGGCGCTCCCGCACCAAAAATCAAGGGACGTCCTTTCATGCAGAGGTGCAGCGTCCTGGCTCGCCTATTGCCCTACCAAACAATGTTTTGATAACCTTTTTTTCATGTGGTTTCCACGACATGTTCTTAGAGCATGTCCGACGGAGTCTGCCTTGTTTTATCACATCGGGTTTATGTTATGAGAACGTGGTTTTTGTTATTATCTCATTTGGGGGTCCTTAGAACATTTCGTGGTAGGACTATAGTCAGGAGGGGAACAAAAAACACAGACACAATTAATCCTCGACTCCTCAGAACATATAAGAAAATATGGGAAGTGGGCGGGAAGACAAAAACCCAGAAAATATTGGGAAATATGGGGTATTATATGATTTGTGTGTATTTATTTGGCTGTCCTGGGGCCCCCTCATTTAGGAATGCCGGGACGGCCGGTCCCTGCTCGATCCAGGGGGCCCCGGGCCTCTCGGGCGTCGATGGCTCTGCGGCGGCAGGCCCCGGCGCCCCCCGCACCGAACATCAGGGGGACGCCCTCGGGTCTTCGGGGCGGGGCGGCTTGCGCAAGGTTTCTCGTGCCCTGGCCTTCCAGGAGGGCTAAAACATAGCACCAGGACGTCGACGTCCTAATTCCTGTCGGGGTCTGGGGCAGTCCAGATAGATCTATAGGCCTGGAGTGTTCTTTTTCAGCACTCTGGAAGGTCAGGGTGGTCGGGCTCCTGCGGCTCAGTGGGCCCTGGAAGCGCCAGGGCTGTTTTTTTCCCGGTGCCGTTTTGCCGTTTTTTTTGTGTTGCCGGTTCCGACCCCGTTTTTTATCGGTTCCGTCGCCGTCTTGTGACCGGTTTTGGCTCCGGCTCCAATCCTGGAACCGTTTTTGTTGCCGTTTCCGGTCGCCGTTGTTTTGCCGTTTCCACTTTCGAGGGTTTCTTCTTGGAAACCGCGAAGAAACGACCCTGCCGTTTCCGGGGCCCAGCGAAATCCTGCGGTACGCCCGAGGCCCGCGCGGATCGCACATGGTCGGCGTGGCGGTCCCGGGGAGGCGCCGGAGACGGTGCCCGGGGGGATGTCCCAAGCGCCGGCTCAATGAACCCGCACGGACCTCCGAAGATTCAGACTTCTCCAGGGCTCCCCAAAGAGGTTTGAGGGCCTTTCTCCAATCGGCCTGCGGGGATCCGGAGGAGGGAAGTGCAGGGGGGAGCCAGGCACATGGGGGCACACCCGGCGCAGAAACAAAGGCACGCCCAAAGATTTGGAGTCCCGAAACGGTGCGGTGACGATCCGTGCGGTGACCTCGAAATCTCCCAAGACCCCACCGCACGGTCCGTCACCGCACGGTCTTGGGACCCCGGAGGCCCCTGTCGCCCGAGACGTCTTCGGAGAACGACCCGAGTCCCAAAACCGTGCGGTGACCCCGAATCCCCACCGGCTCACCGCACGGTGTGGTCACCACCCCGCTCGGGGGCCCCCGAAAAGATCTCCAGGGACACGTGGAGTCGGTTGTGGTCGCTCCAGCGCGGAGCCCAGCGACAGCAGCAGTATGCCGTGGAGCCCTTGGCTGACGAACCAACAACACACACCCATACCCATAGGGGGATCGGAGAGGGCTATGGGTGCGTGTTGTCGGATGGGGGTCCCCGCTCGAACGGGAGCGTTCCCCAGGGTCCGTCAACCCGCACCCATACCCATAGCCAGTCCTCCTCCCAACGACCCCCCCCTATAGGTATGGGTGTGTGTTGTTCGTTCGTCATTGGCGGAGGGAGGGCCGGCCCCCTCCCCGGCGGGCGCGCGCACAGGCACCAGGACGCCCTCCTCGCGACCACCAGGGAGATGCAGGCGGCCGTGGGACCCGGCCCGGCGGCGCGGCTGCTGCGCGCGCCGCCGCCGCCGCGAACCTTCGCCTCCTCCCTCCCTGCCTCCCTGCCTCCCTGCCTCCCTGCCACCCTCCCTCCCTCCCTCCCTCCTCCCTCTGCCCTCCCTCCCTCCCTCCTCCCTGCTCCCGTCCTCCCGTCCTCCCCTCCCTCCTCCCTGCTCCCTCCTTCCAGCCTCCTCCAATACCGCTCTTGGGTTCCCACATCTCGGGGGCGGAAAAGAGGGGGGTGATGACAAAGGGGGGGGGGGGATATCATAGCGGGGGCCATGATATTTCCCCAGATCTCGTGGCGCCTCTTCTTATTCCATTGCGTCCCTGGCCCCCCCGCTGGGCCGCGCACATGCCGCCGGTCATGATTTGCACCCCCCCCCTCTTTGACGCCCCCCTCTTTGCCGCTCCCAGATCGTGCTCAAGGACCACATCCCAGAAATAACTCCGAGCACCCAGAAAAGTGTCGAAAGCGTGCCGGAACAGTGTCGAAAGAGTGTCTCCCAGGGCCCGTCACGTGAAAGCCGCTGAGTTTTGCCGTGTTTTCTCGGTGTTCGAAATTCACTCTGGTGATCAAGGCTAAAGCAGGTTGGAACATCATAAGCCTCGTCCACATTCTCCTTCTCGTCGTCGTCGTTGCGCCGTCACCGTCGTTGCGTCGTCGTCGTCGTCGTCGTGGTCCTCGGGCGGGGCGCCACCGCTGCCAGGGCGAGAGCCGTCTGCGGCGAGAGGCTCCGCTGCGGCCCCGGGGCTCCCCGCTGTCGCGAAGGGCCCTCTGCGGCGCCCGCCGCAGGGACGCGGCGACTTTTTGTTAACTTCTTCGGGAACCCTAGAGGTCGGCACCAACACCAACGTCGGCGGTGTGCCTCCGCCGAGGGGAGATGATCCCGATCTCGGCGGAAGCGACTATACTCGGGCTTCCTGAGTGGCCGAAATCTGATCGCCAGCACCAGGATCTAGGATCACCATCTCCCGGCGGAGGCAACCCCCTTGTGCTGGTGTCGGTGCTGGTTTCAACGCCTCGGTTGTCGGGAGGCCCTCGTCGCGCCAGCTGGGCGCAGCTCGAACGATCGAACTTGCTAGGATGGTGCGGCTTGAGCGGAGTTCGGTCCTTGTGGCGTTGCTGTCGTCCTTCGACATCGCTGCCGTTGCCGCCGCCGCCGCCGTCGTCGTCGCCGTCGTCGCTTTCGACATCGCCGCTGCCGCCATCGTCGTCGGAGGTGGATGGGGAGGGTGCGCGGGGTGGGGGGAACGGGAAGGGATATCGAGGGCGGGTGAGGAGGGTGAGAAAAAGAATGGACTTGCCCAGAAGAATTTCGGAAGGCTTTTTGGCATGTTCGGACGTTTTGCGAATGTTGCTGTTGTCGAATATTGACTTCGAGATAGTAATGATTGCTGATATCCGGAAACGGTTCCGCGCGCTCTCGCCTCGACGCTGGCTACATGTTCTCTGAAAACGAGGCTCCCCCGCAAACGTTAGCTTGAGTGTGTACAAGTGTGCCCTTGGAGGCTCTGTACGACGACAACGGCTCCCGCTCAATATTTCCTCAAGTTTTTCCCCGAAACACCCTGACCCGAGAGGCTCCCGAACTCAGGAACGGCGCTCTCGCTCCAGACTACCTCGCAATTCAATCAAGTTGGCGGAGGCCCAGCCACGACGACAAGGGCTCCTGCTCGATACCTCCTCACGATTTACTCCGAGAGCCCCTGGCCAGGAAGGCCCCCGAAATCAAGAGTGGCGCTCTCGCTCGAGACTTTCTCGCGAATAAGTCAAATTGGTGGAGGCCAACTACGACGACAAGTGCTCTCGTTCGATACATCGTCAAGATGTATTCGCAGGGGCCCTTGCCAGAGAGGCCCCCGAACTAAAGAGTGGCGCTCTCGCTCGAGGTTTTGTGATACGTCAGGCAAGTTGGTGGAGGCCCAGACACGGCGACAAGGGTTCCCATTCGATATTTCTCGATATGTATTCCGAGAGCCCCTGGCCTGGCCAGAGAGGCCCCCGAGTTTAGGAACGCCGCTCTCGCTCAAGAGTTCCGCGCACTTCAGTCAGCGGCCGACAAGGAAGATATTCCCCCCGAACGGGGGTACGATCGAAGACGAAGTGGGCGGATATCGGGTCTGGGGTATACAGAATGCAAAACACGCGTGCCAGTAAGAGCGACCAGTCTTAAACTGATTGTTGTTGGTGGTGTTGATGATGTTGTTGTTGGTGGTGGTGTTGTTATTGTTATCGCTGTTGTTGTCTGTTCATTTCCCAAGAATGTTTATTAATGTCCCCCCCTGCCCAGTGACCATGTTGATTTCAAATATTGTGCTCCTTCCGCCGTATCGCACCTTGTAGTTTACAAGGGAAAGTGCGGGGTCACCAAACTGTGCCCCGGGCCCTCGGTTTACAACAACAACGGCTCCTGCCTTATATGCCCACGCAAGTTATTCAAAAATCGCGTTCTCGCGCGGGACGTCCTCACAATTCATTCAAGAATCGCGTTCTCGTGCGGGACTTCATTCAGACGCCGCGCCCTCGACACAGGAATCACGCTCTCGCCTTGTTTTTCTCGCCTATCGCTCGCAACCTCGCGATTCATGCAGTACTCACGCTTCAGCAGCCCGCCTGCTCGGCCGGGTCTTCTTCACAAATTGCTTCCACGATCGCGTTCTCGCGCAGGTCATCTACACAATCTATGCAGGATTTGCAGTCTCGCGTTGGAGTTCCTCGCAATTTATTCAGACGCGCGACCTCGTCAAGCAGGCATCACGCTCTCGCTTTGACCTCTCCCGATTTACATAGGAATCGCGCTATCGTTCCAGACTTCCCCGCGATTCATGCAGGACTCACGCTTCAGCAGCCCGCCTTCTCGGTCTGGCCACCTGGGCCCGCCTTCCCGACCCGCCCACTAGGGTGTGCTCACCCGATCTGCCCGTCTGGTTATGCCACGTGGTTCCTGCTCTTAGCCCCACTCCTGACAATGCTGTGTTCCACTTTCTCCCTTTCCCTTACATCCGTGTTCGCGTTCCTTGTCTTACAGACTGCACCAATTGCACGCGGCAGGTTTGGAAGATTATCCACAATGGTACACGATCGATGACGAAGAGGGCGGGTACCGAGGGCTTGGGATATACGTGTTGAGTGGCACGCGAGCAGGTCAGAGCGAACAATCTGAAAATGATTGTTGCTGTTGCTGTCGTCGTCTCCGTCGTCATTGTTGTTGTTGCTGCTGTTGTTGGTGCTGCTGCTGATGCTGATGCTGTTGTTGTTGTTGTTGCTGTTGTTGTTGATGTTGATGTTGTTGAAATCGCATCCTTGAAGTGTAATTTCTGTTGATCCTTCCTCACTGGTGCACATACTGTTTTCAATTAGTCACGCTTCGCGTATCCCCACTAGCCCCTCTGGGCACACAATCCGACTTATGGCAGTCGGTTCACTTGGCTGCGGCCACCCTGGTACCTCCGTAGTCCTACGGGGGCCTGCGCCCTTGCACCTAATTCCCACGCCTCCTGCAGTCCCTGGTCGCCGGTCACCCTGGCCGCCAGCTGCTCCCGACGCGTTGCATGCGTGCACCCTGGCTGTACTGCTCCCCAGTTTACCGCCAACCTTTTCCCACTCGCCGGCCGGGCCGCTGAGGTGCTGCGTGAAGCTCCGGCCCACCGCTTTAGGTTGATTCGTCTTTACGCGCCCCTCTCTGACTGGACTCGCCGCTGGCGCGCTCGCCTGCGGCCACTGACTAAGAAGTATCCCCACTAGCCCATTCAGGCGCCCTGCCCACGAGAGTTGACGGGAAAAGGGACGAATGGACAGATACGGAAACAAAGCGAGCAACCAGGATGAACCGAGAGATATTTGGGAACAAGGGGGTGGCTTTGGAAGGACTCTTCGGGCCATCCCTTGGGGCCGCGTGGGGGCGAGGGGAAGAGGAGGAAGAGGAGGAGGAGGAGGTGGAGGGATCCAGAGAGGAGCTGCTGCTGGTGGTGCTGCTGATGTTGTTGCTGCCTCAGCGGGTGCTGCGTCTGGTGCCCTGGAAGGGCCATCTAGAAGATCCTCGATCAAAAGATGGGGGGTCCTCGATTACGGCCCCTTCCCAGGAGCCCTCAAAGTCGCCTCTTGGAGCTTTCCTGGGGCTTTGTGGAAGGGCATTGGAGCTCTCTTGGAGCTCTTTAGGGGTTTTGGGGCCTCCTGAGGCTCTCTTTGAGGCCATCTTGGGAGCCCTGGAAGGCCTCTTGGGGCCATCTTGAAGGCCATCGATCAAAGGAGGAGATGGTGCAACGTTCAGTCCCCCCCCCCAAAGAGGCCAACATGGGGCCAAGACCTTTAGTGACACCAATGATTTCGGCGTCCTCGCCGAGGCCGTGCTGGACGCCCTGACACCTCGCGAAACCCACCAACAAAGTCCGGGGGAGGGGGTAGGGGGAGGGGTTAAGATCCCCCCCCCCGGCCGCAAGCCGTCTCGCTCACTCCACATACGTAGCACCCGAGCCTGGCCCGAGCCACAGCATAGTCAGCAGTCGTTTTTGGATGGGCATCTACTGTGGGCGAATCCGCCGCCGCCGCCGCCGCCGCCGCCGCCGCCGCCCGCCGCCGCCGCCGCTGCGCCGCTGCCGCCGCGCTGTTCCGCCGCGCCGCCGCGCCGCCCCGCCGCCGCCGTCCGCGCCGCCGCCGCCGCGCGCCGCCCGCCGCCGCCGCCGCCGCGCCGCGCCGTCGCCCCGCTGCCGAATCGCCGCCGTCGCAGCCGTGCCGGCCGCAGCGTTGCTGCCACCGCTGGCCGCCGCCGCCGCCACCGCCGCCGCCGCTGCCGCCGCCGCCGCCGCCGCCGCCGCCGCCGCCACCGCCGCAGCCGCCGCAGCCGCTGCCCCCGCCGCAGCAGCCGCCGCCGCCAAGTGCACTTTGTTTTGTTTGACAGGGATGGTGGGGGGAGGCCGCATCGGGTTCGCTGCGCATGTTCAGAATTTAGAGGCAGAGTGTGTTTGGTATTGTTTTTGTTTG